TCTCCCGCGCAGCTGCTAGTGGTTTTGAACTGCTGACCATGAGGATGGCAGCTCCACCACCAGGGCTCCACCACCAGGAGGGACAGCAGAGAAGAGGACGGGGGAGATGTCTGACAGTGTAACAAATGACAAAATAATAATAATTTATGAATTATGAACAGTTCATGAGGGAAGGGGGAGTAGGGAGGGAGAGAGAAAATGAGGAGCCGATATGAAGGGCTCAAGTGTTGAGAGTGATGATGGCAACAAATGTGCCTATGTGCTTGACACAATGGATGGATGGATTGTGATAAGAATTGTAGGAGCCGCCAATAAAATGATCTAAAAAAAAAGAGCGTTACATTTAACTTAATACTTGTTGACAAGCTATCCATTCGTCAGGCGACTTCGTTTTGAGTGCAGACTAAAGGACTTACAGTTTCTTAACCTTGCTGGGTTTTAAGAATCACCTGAGACAGGTGATCTAACAAGGGGAACCATAAAGATTCCCAAGCGGCTGCTCAGTGGGGTGTCTATGAAGCGGCCCGGGAGTCAGCACTTAATGTGTGACACTAAGCTCCGCTGGCCGGCTGAAGAAGACCCCAAACAGCGCGCCTTCCCAACAACGACAGCTTCCCAAGGAGCGCCACCCGAGGAACTAAACCTGAGCCCGGACTCGCCGCAGGCCCCGCCCCTGCCTCTTCCAATCCTCGTACACGCCCCCTAGAAGAACGAGAAGACGGGAAAAAACGCGAGATACTAACGTAGGGGTGTGGTCTCCTTTTAACCAATGAGAAATGAGGGCGTGACTCTGAGGCGCTGGTTTATTGGTCCAGGGTCCCCAGGGCGGCCCAGACTGCGCGCGCGGAGGCGGAAGTCGCGCTGCCGCCGAAAGGTGCCTCTAAGCTCCTGGCCTCGCCGCTCCCCTTGGCGCCGCCATCATGGTTCGGAAGCTCAAATTCCACGAGCAGAAGCTGCTGAAGCAGGTGGACTTTCTGAATTGGGAGGTGACCGATCACAACTTGCACGAGCTGCGTGTGCTGAGGCGTTACCGGCTCCAACGGCGCGAAGACTACACGCGCTACAACCAGCTGAGCCGGGCCGTGCGCGACTTAGCGCGGCGCCTGCGCGACCTGCCCGAGAACGACCCGTTTCGCGCGCGCTCCTCGGCCGCGCTGCTGGAGAAGCTGTACGCCATGGGCCTGGTGCCCACGCGCGGCTCGCTCGAGCTCTGCGACTTCGTCACGGCCTCCTCCTTCTGCCGCCGCCGCCTCCCCACCGTCCTGCTCAAGCTGCGCATGGCGCAGCACCTGCAGGCCGCCGTGGCCTTCGTGGAGCAGGGCCACGTGCGCATTGGGCCGGACGTGGTCACGGACCCCGCCTTCCTCGTCACGCGCAGCATGGAGGACTTCGTCACCTGGGTGGACTCGTCCAAGATCAAGCGGCACGTGCTGGAGTACAATGAGGAACGCGATGACTTCGATCTGGAAGCCTAGCGGGACCGGCGCTTCCCGTGGCCGCGTCTCGCTGGACGATGTAAGGCGGGTCGCCGTTCCTCCATTCTTGGAACGTGGCTCCTTGGTGGCAGGCCACGGGCACAGCCGGGGCTTGGGAGGTAGGCCCGTGTTTCCCAGGACATTTTCCCTAAGAACTTGGACTGCCGAGAATAAAATAGACACTGCCTTAGGAGTGGCGTGGGAGTGGATTCGTGCCGCTCTGGGGGAATTCATTTCTTGCGACCGAAAAGTGATCTTGGAAGCCTCACCTGTCCACCCCATGCCAAGGGTTCCCCGTTTGTCTTGTGGCAGGAGTATTTGGTTCAGTTTATTTATTTAGCCTTAACGTTTGCGCCCCGTTGTTGCTCAGTCCACCCACGTGGGAGAGTTTGATCTCCCAAGTCTTCACAAACGGTAAAAGTTAAATGTTAAGGCTCTTGTTTAAGTGAACCGCTTGTCTGATGTCAATAAAGGGCCCAATTGCTTTGTTAAGTGCAACTGTGTTTGTCTGATTTTCTTTTTTTAGAAAATTTTATTTCTTAATCATTTTGTTGGGGGCTCTTACAGCTCCTGTAACAATCCATACATCAATTGCATCAAGTATGTTTGCGTATGTTGCCTTCATCATTTTCAAAGCATTGTCTTTCTACCTGAGCCCTTGGTATCGGCTCATTTTTTCCCATCCGCCCACCCCACAACCCCCCACCCTGGTGACCCCCTGATAAATTATAAGTAATTGTTATTTTCATATCTTTATTACACTGTCTGCTGTCTCCAATCACCCACGTTTCTGCTTATCCCCCTCGGAGTGGAGGTGTGTTATATGTTGGTCATTGGGATTGGTTTCCCCCTTCTCCCCCTTGTCTGGTTTTCTTATATAGGCCTTATAAGCAGGGGCTTGAAAAAGGTGGTGGAAAAACTGATTCCTCCTTTCCCCTATGATTAAATTGCCTTTATGATCTTTTTTACGCTGTTTTCCCACAAACTTTTTTGAGCCTCCTCAGATGTGCGTCTCCTTAGTTTGCTGGGGAACCCAGAGAAGCGAATCCGAATGGACCTGCCCTCCCTGTGGGTGAGGCTTGACCAGCAGATGCTGCTCAGAGCCCCGCAGATGTGACAGTTTACGAATCCCTTCCTGGAATGAATGTTTTGGCAGGGAAGTCACAAGACTTCCTGTTGATATTCCAGCCCCAGGAAATACCACAGTAGAGGGCAGAAGTATTTGCTTTCTGAGGGAAATCATCACCCTGTAGTTTGGCCATCTAGCGGTTAGAAGTGGCGGCGTGGTTCCTGGAGATGATGTTCTTAGGAGGAGTAGAAAAGGCGGGGAGGATGGGGAGACAACTCGTTTTGCCTGAGGTGGGGGGAGGCGGAGAGGAGGCAAAAAACTCAATTGCCAGCAAAAATAATTCCAACTTAGAGTGACGGACAGGATGAGTGGAACTGCCCCGGTGCTTTCCAAGGGTGCAAATTGTTGAAGAAGAAAGCCATGTCTTTCATGGAGTGACTGGTGGGTTCAAAAAGACTTCAGGTCCCTGGTGGCCCAGCGGGTTCAGTGCTGGGCTGCCAACAGCAAGGTGGGTGGGCTGAAACCCGTGTCAACTGCTACTTGGCGGAAAGATGAGAATTGACACCGATAACAGTATTTGCAACCCGACCAAGCAGTTCTCCAACCTATAGGATTGCTGTGATTCTGAATCAGATCAGTGACGGTTGGTTGGTGGTTTAGGTTTGAGACTGATGGCTTCCCTTTTACACGTACCTCCTCAGGTGGGAAGCAGGGTTTGCTGAAGACACCAGGAAGGGAGGGAGACGCTGGGAATGAGCATGAGCGTAGCAACCATTCTGTTCCTCGGGCACAGCTTTAACTGCTTTATGTGCATTGATTGATTTCATTCAACAGCCCCTGTGAAATAAGAGTCCAATTACTCCCTACAGAGACCGGTCAAGTTACCCATGATTGCATAGCTAATAAGTGGTGGAGCTGGGATCATGCTCCTCTAAAGAATGTGTCAGCTGATGTCAGCACAGCCAGCCTTTGAGGGAAGTCAGGGCTTCAAGTCCCTGAACTGGAGTTGCGGGGCCAACAGCTAGGCAGGGTGATGGGTCCCTGCAGGGTGCTGACAGCAGTGGGGGAGGATTCAGGGAGTTAGGGGAGGAAGGCTGCCAATTACTCTCCCCAACTACACCCTGCACAGTAGGTGATGTTATTCCCCGAATACTGGCACACCCCACACTCCACCTGCACCTTTCAGATTAGTAAACTGAGAATTGGGACATGAATCGGTCAAAGTCCGGAATTCTCTCATTTCAGAGTTCCCTTGCAGGTTGCACGTTAGCGATTAAATACAAGAACTTTAGAAAAGTTTCCTTTACCCTTTTAATAGTAGCTTGTCAACCTTTACCAGAAACTTGTGACTAAGGTTTTTTTTTTTTTTCAGGAATTTTTGTTGTTCAGTCATTCAGAAGACAGGCCCTGGAACTAGACTGCTTAGTCTGAATCCTGGCTCCTGTGCCTAAGTAGCCATGAAACGTCACTTATTTTATTTAGCCTCTATCAGAAAAATGAGTTAATACTGGTAATACTGTCTTTTTCAATTGTAGGAAAGGTGAAATGATTTCATTTCCTACAAAGTGCTTGGAATTGCTCTTGGATGATGGTAAGCTCCTAAACGTAGTGCCTCCCTTCTCCCCGTGCCCCTCTCCCCTTTCCTGTGCGTGTGGGGAAACACGGAGTTAAGCCTGAAAGATTTAAAAACATGCAAATTAAAAAAAAGTCAGTAGGCACACACAGTTGACTCACCGCCACTGCCATTGAGTCCATGCTGACTCAGGGCCCCTCTAGGACGGGGTAGAACTGGCCCTGGGAGTTTGTGAGACAAGTGCTTTCATGGGAGTAGAAAGTCCTCTCTCCTCCCCTTGGAGCGGCCAGTGTTTTCCAGCTGCTGACTGTGCAACAGTGAGCACTCTGCCACCAGGGCTCCTCAGAAGTGTAAATTGGGACAACCCCTCGGAGAGCAAGTTTACCATGTAAAGAACCCCCAAAACAACATGCCTTCTATACCCTCTGACCTAGACGTCCCACTTGGAATAATCAGCAGAAGTAAATTGCAAAAGCTTGCTACAGAGACTTTCCTCAGAAGGATTATAACGGGGGGATTGGAAATGTGTCTCCCCTCCCCCCAAGGGGAACTAGTTATTTTTATAATGAAACAACCATTAAAAATAATTGTGGTGAGGTATTTAGGACTCCCCACCAAAATATAAACCGATACCAATCATATACTGTTTTTCTAAAGACATGTAAATGGCAGGGGAGGGGAGGGGGCATGAATAAATACTCATCTCTCCCAGCGGGAGTATTATTGGTATTGGCATCTTTTTAATATATTTCAGCACTTACAGTTTTTCGATAAAGGTAATTTAATACATGACAGTAAAATTGTGCGGTCTCCACTTCCCCGAAGCCTATGCTTGTGACAAGTTTTGGCCATGCATTTGTCTCATCCTTCAGCCGCAGTTAGATAATAAAAACAAAACCCAAACTCACGGCCATCAAGTCAAGTCTGACTCATGGTGACCCCGTAGGACAGGACAGGACAGACCTGACCCTGTGGCTTTCCCAGACTAACGCTTCTCTCTCCCAGGGGACAGCTGATGGTTTGGAACTGCTGACCTTACTGTTAACAGCCTAATACATAACCCACTGTGCCCCCTGGGCTCCTGTAGTTAGTTAACAGGCACCCCATTTTAATATGACTCTCCACGGCTCAGGGAACCTAGCTGTGCCCTCGCCAGGGCCTCTAGGATGAGGCCTGGTTTTCAGTAGGCCCTTAAGGACTCCTTCAAACTCCTGCAGGGCTGGGACTAAGGCAAGGCAAATGAGGGAGTGAGGAGAAGGTGATAGTCTGGGCTACTAACCTCAAGATTGGTAGTTCAAACCTACCAGATGCTCTGCCGGGGAAGGATGAGGCTTCCCACCCCTATAAAGATTGACAGGTTTCGAGGGCCACGGGAGCAGGTCTGCTCTGCCCTGCAGGATCATGCTGAGTTGACAGTGGGTTTGATTTTTTTTTTCTCCTTGCACACTGAGGTAGTTAGTTTATTGGGCCGATAAACACATGTGGGGTTAAATGAAGGGCGGAGGGATAAATGGCTCGGTGAGCCTTGCCTTTCTAGTTCTCAGGTCTCTTGCTTTCTGATGGTTGGACCAGGGCGCAGCTGCCTTAGCCAGTTCCCTGCTTTAGCTTGCAAGGCTCACTTCCTGCAAGACATCCTTGAGGAGAAGCCACATGGACTTACCCCGATGCAGCCCTGGGTGCTGGAGCAGCCGTGTGGAGACCCCTGCCAACACTGAGATACTTACATGGTCACTGACTCTGCTTTCCACCTGCAGTCGGCATCATTGCATGTGTTTTGTGAGATGGAGGAGGACTTTGTGGATTGGTGTTGGACATATGGGTTAATGTTGGACTTGTGGGCTTGGGCAGCACTGGGTTGGGATGTTTTCTTGATGCACACTTAACCTTTATATAAAACTCTCATACATGAGTTGCTGTGGATTTGTTTCTCTAAAGTACCCAGACTATTACAGTAGACGATAAATGGGTTTCACAAGCAGTTCACTCACTTGGCTGCAAACTGAAAGGCTGGAAGTTCAAATCCACCCAGAAGTACCTTGGAAGAAAGGCCTGGTGATCCCCTTCTGAGAAACCAGTAATGAAGACCGCCGTGGAGCACGGCTCCACCGACAAACGTGGGGTCACCAGGAATTGGAGTCAACTCAACGGTGAAGTTTTTTGTTTTTGTTTAATGATTTATTATCATTATTATTATTGTGAATTAAGTGGTAGTGGTTGGTTACATTTCACACTGTCAACTTTGCAATCAACAGTTCCAACCATCAACTTCCTCCCTATCCAGCGATGGCTTTTCAGAGGGGGCTTGAGAACTCAGCCAACCCTCAGCTTCTTCGTGTGCAATTGCCTAGGCGAGATGAACAGGTTCTCACAGTGCCCTTTGGCCTTCTTTAATGCCATACCCTGTACCACCCACCATCACATGCACCTCGGGACTATTAGTTCCTTAGACTCCTGGAGCCAGTCTGGAGTTAAGTCCTGGTCTTGGGAAGGAGCATTGCTGAGAAGCCAGCAGTGTCCAGAGCCAAACTGGACACTCTGCTTTGGTGACCCAAAGCCCATTTGTAGGCAGAGGCAGAGGGGAAAAGAAAGTGGTGCCATTGTCCGCCCCTGTGGGCTGTGGCACCTTTTCCTGATCCCCTCCTGCAGAGGCCCAGGTTCTAGCCCTCTCCAGCGCACAACACAGACCTGCTGCTTCTCAAAGGGCAGCTGAGCCGGGATCTGAGCTCTCTGGGCACACAACTCACTTGTCTGGTGTGCCTAGTCTCAGTGCTAGTCTTCCTCCTCAGCCAGCCTCCTTCCCCGTCATTTGCCTCTCTGCTCATCATCCAGGGTCTTAAAGGGGCTGGCTCTGAGCACACCTCCTCCAGGAGGCCTTTCTTGACTCCTCCAGCCACTGAGTTCTTAGAGCTGCCTTGTGGATGGCACTTGCTCTGGATGCTGCCCGTCAGTTACTAACCACTACTGCAGGTTGCCATCCGGTGACTCAGACTCACCACGGGGATTTTTCAAAGCAGGCCTCCTGGGGCATCTTCCCCACCACTACCACCAGCCCAGTCTGTGAAATGGAGACCCATAGATGGGAATGGGGAGGAAATGAAGGAGGGACTCTGAATCTTGAAAGTTGAATGAGGAAGCTCTAAAGGTCGCCAGCCCTGTAAGAAAAAACCCAGCACAACTGCACTGCTCCTGACATGTCCCCGGAGTCGGTGAGATTTCCGTATTCGTGCTTCTGCATCACCCTCAGCTCACACGTGGCTGACTTCCTAGAGGATGAGGATGGGATACAGTTCCATGAATCCCCTGGAAGTGTCATCTCTGCTAGTCCTCATGACCTAAGTTACCAACCTGGGTTTTGCCCCACAACACTGAACATGTTCAACGTGGAACCGCCACTGAATGAACTGGGCTCGACCTCAAAATTACCTCTAGCTCTTGAACTTGAGACTGAAATGCCCTGGTGTGAGAAGAAACAAATGGCAGCCATCCCAAGGGTATACAATTGACAGTCCTTGAACCTTGGGTAGGATCCCGGGCTTTGCTGGCATCCAGTGAAAGGTGAACCACACCACCATATAGTTACTGTTTTAAGGCCCTCCTTGCTTTAATATGACATGTATGAATCTGAAAGGCGGGGTTCCCCTAGCATTAACCCCCATGGT